AAAGAGGTGGATTATGCCACTTAATAATTTCAAAACCGTTTTCAAGTTTAAACTGTTGGATCAAGTCGCCGCGTCGCCTGCGAGTTTCTAAAGAAGTAAAATTGTGACGCAGACACATTTCAGCATAAGGTAAACTTGTTAAATCATGAGGAATTTTTGTTGCTTTGTGCTGAATTTTTTCAATATCTTTGATGTCGCCCTTTAAGTAAGGACACCATACTGGAACAACGAATTTAAGGTGCGGCCTAATATATGTTGTATATAGTTTACCCCAAAGCTTCATATCTCTTGATCTAAATGTTTTTTTTAGTACGCTATCATATTTGCTCTACGTGTCGCAATCTGAGTTGATTCTATTTTAGATCTTTAGATATAAAGATACCCAGGTCTCTTTCAATATCCGTTGCCGCTATAATAAGAGATGTATTACCATCATTCATTACATATTCATGATTTATATTTCCATGACCAAGATGCATAACCTTACACTCTCCAACAATAATGCCTTAGCTGAGTCAGTGATCAGAATTTGTTTATTTTATGAAGTAGATATATAAATTATTTTTTCAGTCTAATTAGAGTGTGTGCTCAAGCTATACGTATTGATATTTCCTAATTATTTTTTTATACTCTTTTTACCTATAGTTTGAAGTAATGGATTCTGAAATTAGAGGTAATTTATTTTTAAGGATTTTATCTTATTTTTACTCAGATAGTGTTTTTAACATTATTTTTTAAATTCTATTAAGCTTTCAAAAATATACCCCATTTTTCCTCAATAAACTAAATAAATTCTTGTAGAATAATGTTATCTCTATATGATGTATAAAATTCATCTGCAAATATTTGCAATTTTAAAATTTAAGTCTGTTCTTCCACAGAAAGTGACGAAATTACCAATGAAAAATTATACAATTTGTGGAGAACTACTAAATCAACTGAGCGAATTAATATAATTTGTGAATATATTTTGAAAAGTTGGAAAGAGGATAGTATTTTTGATTTAGAAAAACGGAATCTGAAAAATCAAATTTCATTTTTTTCTATTAAATTAAAGCAGAAATGGGAGCAAGCTTGTCGCAGCCATGCATATTTTGTTCGGAAATATGCAAGTTGGCTAAAGCTGGTTTTTGAAAGAAAGTATTTTTCAGAAGAAGATCTAGAAGCTAGTAGTTCTTCTGTTGCCGGCCGTCCATCAAAAGCTTTTGAGGAATGCTCCTTTAAAGAGCAGAAGCGCAAAGCTAAAAAATTATTTGAAGATAAAACTCCCGAGGAAATTTTGCTAGCCGCCGAATTAGCAGTTAGAGCTGAAGGAAAACGAGATACGGCAAATTTATTTAAAGAATTATTAAGCGCCTCGCCGGAACGTGCAACAAAAATTAAGAAAGCCCGAATAAGTATTGAAAATAAGATGGAACCTATGCAACCTGAAAAGGCACTTGCAATGATAATTAATAACAAATTATTTACCCATCAATATAAAAATATAAGAAAAGAAGCTAATGCATCAGGGCATCGAGTGTATCCATCATATAACAAGGTTTTGAAAGAAAAACATAAATGTTACCCCCCGGAAAATGGTATCACTGTGACCGATATAAGTGCCGAAGTTACACTCCAAGATTTACTGGATTTGACGGCAAGGCGATTGTGCCTATTACAGAAAGAAGTATTACTTTCTGTTGCTGAGAAAAACGAAAAGTTAAATTTGATTTTCAAATGGGGTTGTGATGGGAGCTCCAATCAAAGCAGATACAAACAACTTTCAGCACAGAAGGCTAACGATGAAAATTTATTTTCAATTGCGCTTGTACTCCTTAGATTATTAATGAGCTCCATTACCATTATTTGGAAAAATCCAAGACCAAGTTTAATGAGATATTGCCGTATTATTCATTTTTCGTTTGAAAAAGAAACAAACGATGTGATAAAAGAAGAGACTAGATATATAGAAGACCAAATATCAAAATTGGTACCCACAATTATAAATATAGACGATGTGCAGTTTGAAATAAACTTTAAATTGCTGTTAACGATGTTAGACGGTAAAGTATGTAACTCGCTAAGCGAAAATAGTTCAACACAAATGTGTTACATATGTGGTACTAAACCAAAAGAGATGTTACAAGAAAAGCTCACATCTTAACAAGACAAAGAGAAAATGTATTCCTTCGGTATATCCCCACTCAATTGTTGGATTCGCTGTTTAGAGTTCATTTTACATTTATCCTATAAATTATGCATAAAAAAATGGCAAGCTAGAACGCAAGAAGAAAATGAAAGTGTGAATGAGAGAAAACAACTAATTCAATAATTATTTTGAGGATAAACTTGGGTTATTTGTTGATAAACCCAAACAATCTTTCGGTACAACAAATGACGGCAATACTGCTAGAAGATTTTTTGAAAATCCGCATATAACATCAGAAATCACTGGAGTAAATGAGGAATTAATACATAGATTCAAAATTATTCTTCATACTTTAGGCAGTGGATTCCAAATAAATTCAGAAAAATTTCATCAATATGCAAATGAGACTAAATATTTATACCAATCTATGTACCCATGGTATTACTTGCCAGCAAGTATTTATAAAATATTAATTCATGGGAGATATATCTTTTCTTCATGCATTCTTCCTTTGGGAGAACTGTCTGAAGAAGCCCAGGAAGCTTCAAATAAAAGTTATAGATTTTATCGTGAGTACTTAACTAGGAAGATGAAAGGACACCAAATAGGGATATATTAAATAGATTTATTTTGTATTCTGATCAATTTTGTCCAACTATTACTTACCACCTCGAAAAAATTCAAAAACTTTTCATCCGGATAAAATCAAACTGTTATTTTGTGACAAAATCGGGCATTCGGAAAATAGTGACAGTGATATGAGTGATTCTGATTAAACAATTTATTATTTTAGTTTTGTTTATAAACTTGTTTAGGTTATAAAAATATTTCAATAAACAATCTTAAATCTATTGAAGTTAAATAAAGAAAGTGTTAAATTGCAACTCATTGATATTACTATGCTGAGTAAGTTTTTAAAAGATTATTATTATGTAAATATTGGTTTTGCATGTAATTTTTAATGATTTTATATCTATTTTATATAAAATTTTAATTAAAATTGCAGCTAAAGGTATTTTTATAGAAAAAATAATAAATTTAAGACAAATAATCAATGAAATAATACACAAAATAATTAAGCTCCGCTAGGTTCGCGAAATAGAACACTGTGCGACGCTAGAACGTCATTTCTGAATCAACTTCAATCATAAGAGGAGCGGGTTTACTAGAATCAAACTTTTTTTTTTGAAACGTTCAATTCTAACTACATTGACTGATTTACTTAAAGATGTCATAAGCTTCTTGAATTTCTTGGTATCATCTTTGGTTATCTCGCTTAGTTGAGTTTATACAAATTCTGGTAGACCAAACCCTACAATTCTCTTTTCTCTGTTAGTCACGTCCTTGTTATGAATATTGAGGGCGCTCACTACAGCTACGTGATAGATCTTTGATAGATTCACTACTATTTCCGCAACAGTTGTTATACATTATAATTTTGTTGTACGACGACGTTATATTTGCAAATTACGCAAAAAGAATGATTCCATACTAGTATGAAAACAAGGGCAGTCGATGCTTTTCCAGTGAGCAAGTCCATGTTTTGCGTTTTTTATATAATCAAGAACCAAATTATTTAAGTTTATTTAAACCGTTTATACTTATTTTCTTATAATAATTTGCGATAGATAGATAATTTAATAGGTTTATTATATTAAATAATTCTTTTAAATATATCAAAGTATGTTATAACTTATACACTAATAATAACAAATTCGATATTCAAGTACTTTATTTGGGTCAGAATTTTATAAAAAATGCGAAACCTGGATTTGCTCCCTGGGAAAAAGTTTCGACATACAAGGACATGGTAAACTTCCTAGTTAATTATTGAAGTAAAGTCGTACACGTCGTACAACAGTTATTGCGCAACTGTTGTACGACATTTCTACAACGTTGGAAACCAGAGCCAGAGACAAAATGCTCACTGTTTTCCACGTTGTTTTTGGTGCCGTTTTTCCGTGGATTTTTTGCATTCCGTATGTTGTTGTAAAATTGCTCGATTAGTTTTGAGGAAAATGTTTTTAAGAGAAAATAACCAAATGTTGCCTATAATTATGCCACCTAAAATAACGTCACATTTTCCCCACGTATTTCGTTAACAAAATATAAAATAAAAAATTAATTAAAAAAAAACTTATTTTTGTCAACTTTAATTTAAATGATAGTAGTTTTTTTCACAATACTTTAACACGCGTAATGATGGTGGTTTGTTTTGCCTAAGATTGCGACTCTTCCGACCCCACCGATATATTATTATCTTTCTTAAACCCTAAAATAGAAACTTGAAAAATTAAATACAGCGAATTATTACTTTTTCTACTTGCAAAAGATGAAAAAGTCAACCTTTTGTGCATCAGTGTTTCAACATTATTATTTTTTTGTGTTTCCTATATTAAATATGGGTTGTTTTTTTTCACTTCTTAGTTGATAAGGTAATTACTATTATTATTTTTTCATCGTTCCTACCATTATTAGGAGATGTAATATTGTATCTTTATTAGACTTTAAATCTATTGTAAGACTGCTAACTTTTTTAGTTTCATGCTGGTTTTAAGTCTTTCCAAATAAAAAGCTTCTAACCAGTACAAAACTAAATTTTTTAGTTTTATGCTAGTTTTTTTACATTTAATTTATATATTTAAAAAGAGTAACTTAGTGTATATATTTTATTTATATTCTTTATTTTCTTCTTAGAGATTAACCGCTCCTTGAAGAATATAGGAGAATAAAGAATGTAAATAAATCAATAATAAATCATACGTAATCATACTGAAGTTATTACTATAATTTATCACTTTATTAAGTTATAATTTCTATTTGTTTTATAAACTCCAGTTTATTTATCTAAAGATTTTTATAAATATTATAGTGTTTCTATTTTTTAAGCAGATATTACTAAATATAGTATGGCAGAAAATGGTCTAACTGAATTAAAATCAAAAAGAACTCCTAAGAGAAAGTCATTTCCAGATGAAGATTATGTTATTCCAAAAAAATTGTCTAATAAAAAAAAAACTGTTGTAAATAAGTTAAAAGAAACTGCAAATACTCAATCAAATTTAATAAAAACTGAAACAAAGACAAAGGAAACATATGTTGACTCTTCATTAAAAACAAAAAAAAAAGTTATTTCTACTTCAAGTAAACATCAAACAAAAGATAAAAAGCATCACAATAATAAAAACAGTTCAGAAAAAATATCTCCTGTAAAACATGTTACAAATAATAATCCCTTAAAAAAGTGTCCGAAAGCAACTTGTAAAAGTGTACGACCAGTTTGTTTTGCTAATGGGAGCAAGTCGTGAGTAACTTTATATTTTATTGAATATTTTTTATAGGCAACTTTTAATTTGCTTTATTAATTTTATATATATATATATATATATATATATATATATATATATATATATATATATATATATATATATATATATATATATATATATATTGTTGTCGCTAGTGCTTGAAGTGGAGAAAAAAGAGTAACTGGATAGTATTCAGTAAATTAAAAATACTATCCCGCCTAATCATTATTAAATTATAGACTTTTAAAAAACATTTGCGCAGAATTTAACAAAGTCAATAAGAAAATATATATTTGAGAGCAGAAAAAAAAAGTACAAAAAAAAATAAAGAATGAAAACTTTTAATTCTTTTATTTTATGTATTTTTTTTGAAGGCTAAGGCCTAAATAGTTAAGGCCTAGGCCAAAATTTCAAGACCAAGGCCAAAGTCAACAGTTTCGAGGCCAAGACCTTAGTTTTTGACCTTAAGGCAAGGCCAAGGACTAACAATTCTAATATATGTATATATATATGTATATATATATATATATATATATATATATATATATATATATATATATATATATATATATATATATATATATATATATATACAGTGCTTTTTTTGTAGAAAATAAGGTGCTGGAATTTACTGGTAATTTTCTTTATATGTTAAAAATGAAGCAGAAATAAGCAATTAAATTTGTAAATAAATTTTATATATATGTGTAGCTGTTAGTAGGCTCCCAAACACTTCGTATCAAATGAGACAGAAACAAATAATTTTTAAAATAATGACAGGTGTTTTTTTTTTGGTTGGGGGCTAAGTTGGGTGAGGGGTCACGGCACTATATATTTGATACAAATTATACAAAACTATAAACTTTAAAAGTTTAAAAGTTAAACTTTTAAACTTAAAAGTTTTTTTCCAAATTTTGTTTGGGCTAATCATCTCGCCTCCTTCCCTTGCTCTTAGTGTCTACTATGTCTTATTACTGCTGAATGTCTTATCCTAAGTAACTACAAATCAACGTACTTTGAAGGATCAAAGCTTGTTAGCGGTGGTCCAAATAATTTAATGAACTTAATCGCATTCATTTGATGAACTCAATTGCATCACACATCAATCCAAGATCTATTAAAAATTCTGTAGATGTAATTTTCTTCTTTAAGTCTTTGAAAGTAGATTTTTCATTTTTGTCTCTTGTCGAATCAACCATCGATTATTCAAAATAATTCACTAGCGCTTCATACACTATCATTGTTGATTTTTGGCATATAGTGATTGACTCATTAATTATTAACAAAATCTTGCTCTTTGATTTTATGACTTCTGCAATAATTTTTTTCTTATTTTGTTACCTATATGCTTGGCAATATTAACAAATGAGTTTGCAGAAGAATATAATCCATTTGATCTCTTTTAATTTCTTGATGATCAATTTCCATTTCAAAGTTAATAAAGGACTGACTTTCTGTTTAAAAGACTTTAAATATTGTTTGAAAGAATCTCTTGTTGTTTAAAGCATTTAAAAGCCATTAAGTTTTTAATAGTTTTATTACCTATCTAAATTATTCACTATATATAGCATTTACAACTACAACTTGTGACTCTTGTCAACAATTAATCATATGTATCACGGCATCATATGCTTGGGCTTCATCCACACTTTATTGCCAACTTTCCATCCTTGACACTATTCAAAGACTTTTGTGTTGATTCGACTTTGTCAATTCCAGGAATTCGGACACATTTGAATTGTTGGCAAAAGATTTCAAAATGTGTGCCGTGTTTTGATGGTACATTGTTGATTAAGAATACAGACATGGATATCCACATTTTGCTCTTGCATTTGTTCTTTTTACTGTCTGATGAACTCTTTCAATAATTCCATTTCCCAGCTCGATAAATAATTCTTATATCCCACTTCGATGCCATAGCTTGCATAGTCTGAGATCTAAACGACTTTTATCTAGGCGATGACCATATTATTTCTAACGAATTATCTTGCGATGACCATATTGTTTCTAATGATTTAACAACCATTGTTGCACTGTCGTTGCTTAATGGTGTCCACAACGTGTATCTGCTTGAGCCACAATCAATACAGGTAAGATACAGCAACGAATCAACATGAGTAATATCGCAGGCTACTTCTTCCCACACTTTGCCGACAGCAAGATTTCCTTTATCCCACGAAATCACATTAGAATAAATTGAATTGCATTTATCACATTCAGCGACAAGTTGTTTCACTGTGTCTCTGTTAATGTGGATACCAGCATATTAGCATATCTTCATACTCTTGGAAACTCCCATGTGTGTTATTGAGTGAGCTTTTTTAATCTGCTGATGATCGTGCTTATAGATGATATTACATTCTTGTGTCACAACTTTGTTTTTTATCCATTTTGTTGGCACTCGTGTGAGTTCATCTGCAATATTTTTTGTTGTTGGTACCCATGTAACATATACACTTATGGCATAATCCTTGACCAATTTTCCAAATATTTGAAGCCTTTGTCGAATTAGCTTTTCACATTGCCTGGCACATTTTACAGATTTGTCACAAGTCAGTTCAGAATTTAACCAACTAAATACACTATGAAAATTAGTTTTGATAGAGACATCATTAATGCCATATTGAGACCTTTAATACATGCATTCAATTCAGCCACGTTGACATGTATTGCATCAGACTTTGGTCGAAGCCATGTTGCATCTTCTATTTTTTTGTCACCTTGCATTATTACAACTTCTTTTGCCAGCGAACTTGCATCACACCATACAGTTAGAGATGCATTTGGTTTGACATTCCACACGCCTTTTGCTGGATTGCATTTAATAACCTTATCCACTACATCCTGCATCATTTCATTTATGCACTTATTCGTAATAGGTTCATCCCAACCTGCTTTGTTTGTACATCTCTTTATAAAGATGCATGCGAGTCTCAACCATCCAGCAACTGGTAGATTTGCAACCAGATTACCATATAATGAGAATATCTCCCTCTTGGTGAACACATTTTTAATAATAGGAATCTCACGTCCTCTCTTCCAAAACATTTCCTTTGTAGATGGATTCACTGTTACTTCCAATCCTAGAGCACGAACTGGGTTTTTGTCAAAATATTCAGGTGTTTTTGCATGAAGACCTCATTTCTTCATGAGTGCCACCAGCTTCCTTCTATTTCCATTGGTTGCTATGGTGTCATCAATGTATCCTCTTGTTGATTTTGCAAGTGCAAAATTTTTTTGGAGAACATATTGTAGTATTGAGCTCATCATCACAGGTGCTAGGTTCAGACCAAACATGTAAGCGCATATCGTTATCCTTGTAAATTACAGTTTGGTAAGGCACATGAATTTGTTTATGCACATGAATTTGTAGGTATACTCTTTTTAGATCCACCACTGAGTCGTTGCTGTTTTTACTCATGAGTCTCTCCAGTAATATTTTAGCTTTTCCCATAATTTTATCGTCATATATGATAAGTATGCCTTCTTTGATCCTGTCATTAATTTCGTTGTCAAACGCTTCACGATGTTGGTTAGATACGTTATACTGATACGTTATATATTTGGTATAACCCTCCGTTCAGCTTAAACGTCAAAACAAAAATAGGAAACCGTTTTCTAGCCCTTATTGACTTACATTTTTCAGCCGGTCACAAGCTACATAAAATATTCAACCGAAATTCTATTAAGATTAGCTACAGTTGCATGCCTAACCTAAAATCTATCATTAATTCGCATAATTCCAAAATTTTACACAACAAAAATCAATTAAAAACCAACCAATGTAACTGCGTAGATAAAGCATTTTGCCCTTTGAACAATCAATGTTTATCTAACAATATTGTCTATCAAGCAACCGTAAGTTCCAGTCATCATGATCGCAATAAAAAAGTATATTTTGGCATTAGTAATACACCATTTAAACTAAGATACGCAAACCATCTCAAATCATTTGCATCAATTAAATATAGAAATGACACAGAACTATCTAAGGAAATATGGAGTTTAAAAGACCAAAACATAAAGCCCATTATAGAATGGAAAATTGTCAAACGTTGTAAACCTTACAATCTAGCAACAAAAATATGCCACCTTTGTCTCTACGAAAAATATGTAATTTTATCGCATAATGGAAAAAATCTACTGAATAAAAAAAACGAAATCGTATCTCAGTGTCGGTATTCAAAAAAATTCCTATTATCTTTATTTGACACAGGGGACTAATAAACTATAACGGCTTTTTGTTTTTTTGTTTTTTGATTTGTTTTTTACGTAGATTTGTTTATAACGTCAAATGTCATTCTACAGTAATTTTTACGTTTTTGTAACGGTTTGTTTACGTTTTTTGTTTGTATTAACGGCTGATGATTGCCTTCGGGCATGAAACTTCAAGTCCCGCTAATCAGTTGTTTTTATTCATCTAAATATAATTATATATAGCTCTATTATTCAGTAATATTGAGCACTGTAACACGTACAAGAGACTTCGTATTATTACATCAAAATACTTAACCTCGAATATATTCTATATATCGAAATCTATACAAATATATATATATATATATATATATATATATATCCTTATAGTGTAGTCGAAAGAGTCTTTTAATGTAAAAAAAGTCTCTTTCGACTACAATTTTAATTACCTCGTCTCTTAAGCTGTTTTTGATTGTCGTCGAAATGTCAAAGCAATTAAATTAATGTGGAAGTACATTAAATTTTATTGTTTTTTAAAAAATTTAAAAAAAACCGCAATAATAACGACTAGAACGTTTTTTTTAATTAGTGGTGTTTTTGTTTTTGTTTTATTAAAAACATTTTTAAAACATGCGTAAATGTTGCTACATCGACTATCTTATAGCCTGCTGCTACAAGGGAGTGTTTCTATATCGACTATCTTATAGCCTGACTCGCAACGGAGTGCTGCTACATCGACTGACAAATAGCCTGACTCGCAAAGGAGTGCTGCTACATCGACTGACAAATAGCCTGACTC